TGGATCTCGCTCTGTAGACCAGGCTGGCCTCGAACTCACAGAGATCCACCTGCCTCTGCCTCCCGAGTGCTGGGATTAAAGGCGTGCACCACCACCGCCCGGCCTCTTCTCTTTTTTAATGGTTTTTCCAGACAGGGTTTCTCTGTGTTGCCCTGGCTCTCCTGAAACTCACAGAGATCCACCTGCCTCTGCCTGAATGCTGGGATTAAAGGTGTGCGCCACCACCACTTGGCATCTCTTTTTTTTAAGATTTGTTTTATTATTTTTAAGTATGTGTGTGTCTCCACAAGGTTATGTACAGATGAGCACGACTCCCAGAAGAGAGCATCAGATCCCTGGAGCCATGCAGTTGCTGTGAATCAAACCTGGGTTCTCCGTAAACTCAGCCAATGCTCTTAACTGCTGAGCATCTCTCCACCCACTAACGTAATTTCCTATCACCTGAGTCTCCTTAGCTCTAAAACAGTACAGTACGGGACTCTGATGTAACAACAGTCCCTGTAAGAGGATGCAGCCTGGCGCACACAGTGAGAGAGCTGGGTCACGCACATTAGGAACATTTCTCAGGCTTCAGCTACTTGGAACAACTTACGTTATACACAGTGGGGGTGATTCTCTGGTGAATACAGTCTCACACGTAAGAGACACAAACGAAGGGAGGGGTGTTACCTTGTGAGGGAGTTTTCTGGTTTCTCCAGACACCTGGCCCCAGAGCTCTGGTCCATAAGCAGGCCTCTCCCATTTGGTCTCGAGCTGTCCGGGTTAGAGCCACCTGAGGAGGAGAAGGAATTAAAGCATACACGTGTGCTTGAGTGCACAGACCACAGCTTCTCAGATGGTAGCGGCGGAATCACTGGCAGTCTACACCCTGCTGGGAAACTGCAAAGGCCACGCTGGCCCACGGGTGCAGTCGCACAGGCCATGGACAGAGACGGAAAGGTAGCTCACCCTGATGGCTTTGCTGATGAAGATAAAGCTGTTCTAGTCACTCCATCCCCTTTCCAGGAATGGAAGTTACAGAAAAAGTAACACGAAACTCAGAAATCTATTTTGCCAAGGACTTCATTTTCTTCTTTTTGGTTTCTCTCTCTCTCTTTTTTTTTTTTAACTGTTTGGGGGGTGGGGGGGGAGCCAAAAGACAACAAGTCTTCCTTAACTGGCACATTTTTTTTCTCAGGCCTGGAGCCCCACCCCCCCAACACACACACACACACACACACACACTGAGCTAGGCTGGCTGGCCAGCAAGTGCCACAGATCCGCTTGTCTCTGCCTCCCCAGTCCTGGGATACAAGAGCACACCACCTGACCCAGCTGTTAAATGGGTTCTGAGGATTGAACTCAGGTCCTTGCTCCAGTACAGCAATTTAGCGGTGGAAGCGTCTCCCCAGCACTCCTTTTTCTTGTCGTTTGTTGTGGAATAATCTTTTCTACACTGTGATGATGTGTCTTTAACAAACAAGGCGCCTTCTGATTGGTTTAATAAAAATCTAACCGCCCACTAGCTAGGCAGGAGGTACAGGTGAGGCAGCCAGCCAGGGAGAACCCTGGGAAGAAGGGTTCCAGTGGACAAGAAGAAATAGACAAGAAAAGAGGTAAAAGCCACAAGTCACATGGCAACACATAGATGAACAGAAATGGGTTAAGTTATAAGAGCTAGTTAGAAACAAGCCTAAGCTATCAGCCACGCTTTCATAAATAATAAGTCTCTGTGCATTTATTTGGGAGCAGGCTGGCAGGACAGAAATATCCACCTGTTTTTTTTTTTGAGATGGGATCTTATGATCTCAGGCTGGCCTCAAACTCACTACATGCCAAGGCTGGCTTTGAACTCCTGATCCTCCTGCTTCTACCTCCCAAATACTAGGACTACAGACATGCAGTCTACAGGCGTGCCCAACAACGCTTGCTTATTTGTTTTGAGACAAGGTATTACAATGAAGCTTGTCCTCACACTCATGGCACTCCTCCTGCCTCATACATCTAAATGCTGGGGCGACAGACGGTCTTTTATTATCTGCTGACTCTGACAAGCCATCTAACCTCTCTTTTTTATGTGTTTTGTTTTCTTCTTGTTGTCTGCTTTTCAAGACAGGGTTTCTGTATAGCTCTGGCTGTCCTGGAACTCGCTCTGTAGACCAGGCTGGCCTCGAACTCACAGAGATCTGCCTGCCTTTGCCTCGCAAGTGCTGGGATTAAAGGTACACGCCGCCACCACCACCACCCAGCCATCCAACCTCTCTTGATCTCAGTAATCAGTCCTGTCCTGCCTTCTGTGCTGGTTTACTATAGAGATCAAATGGGCTGACGAGTGTGCAAACGATTTAATAACCACACAACACATTAAAAGGTAGAAGACTGTGATCCTAGTGTGTTTTGCTGGTAAGACTGAAGCTCCAAATAGGAGAAAGACAAGGATCTGAGATCTATGGCTGGAAAAGGTCAAAGTGCTCTGAAATGATAAGTGCTGCTCATCATTAACAAACAGCTTCAAAAACCATAGGGTATGAAGAAATATTTGGAAGGGACTCGTTACAGCAAGATAAATGTAAAAAGAAAAATTAGCCAGGTGGTAGTGGCACACACCTTTAATCCCAGCACTCGGGAGACAGAGGCAGGCAGATCTCTGATCTTGAGGCCAGCCTGGTCTACAGAGTGAGTGCCAGGACAGCCAGGGCTACCCAGAGAAACCCTGTCTCAAAAAACAAAAAAAGCCAACCAAACAAACCAAAAAAATAAAGAAAGAAAAGAAAAATTAGGGGTTGAAGAGATGGCTCAGCAGTTAAAAGTACATACTGTTCTAGCATAGGACCAGACTTGAGTTCCCAGCACCCACCAAGGTGGTTCACAATCCCAGCTGTAACTGTAACTCCAGCTCCAGGAGGTCCTATGTCTCTGGCCTCAGAGAGCAAGGACACTCACCTGTATGTGTCCATACTCAACATACACAACTGTGCACAATTAAAAATACAAGGATAAATCTTTGACAAGAAAGAAAATTGGCTGGGCATAGTAGTGCACAACTTTAATCCTAGCATTCAGGAGGCAGTGGCAGGTGAATCTTGGTGAGTTCAAGGCCAGCCTAGTCTATCTAGAGAGTTCCAGGCCTGACAAGGCAATATAGTGAAATCTTGTGTTAAACAAACAAGCAAATAAAAAACTAAGATGGAGGGACTGGGCAGGTGACTCAGTGTGTAACAACAGTGTTGTAGGTAACCTTTTGGTACACTATGAAGATGTGCCTCTGTCAGGGTACCTTCTGATTGGTTTAATAAAGAGCTGAATGGCCAATAGCTAACAGGAGAGGACAGGTGGGACTTTTGGGAAAAGAGAGGAACTTGGGGGGCGGGGGCAGAGAATCAGAGGTAGGGATTCACCAGTGAGACTCAGAGGAAGTCAGACATATAGAAGAGGTAACAAGCCACATAGCAGAACATGGATTAATACACATGGGTTAATTTAAGTTTTGAGAGCGGGTTGGGAACAAGCCTAAGCTAAGGCCAAGCTTTCATAATTAATAAAAAGTCTCTGTGTCATTACTCGGGAGATGGTGGGCCGAAGAAAGACCAGCTACACAACACTTGCTCTGCAAGCATGAAAAACCTGGGACACTCTGCCACCCAAACAACTGAATGGACCAGCCAGGCATAGTGACACATGCCTGGGGACACTGATGTAGTAGGATTGCAAGTTAAAGGCCGATCATCTACGTATCAGGACCTTGTCTCACTCAAAACAAACAAGATATAGGGCCTGGACCAGTGAGATGGCTCAGTGGGTAAAGGTACCTGCTGCCCAGCCTGACAACGGAGTTCAGGCCCTAGAATCCACATGATAAGAGGAGAGAAGCCATTCCTACAAATTGCTGACCTCTACACACATGCTAGGCACACACAACCACCTGTAACACCAATTCCAGCTATGCTGCTGGCCTCCCAGGGCACCTACAAACATGCCATATACTCACACATACACACATAGACACATGATTGACATTTAAATAAAGAAAAGAATATTCCCATGGGGTCGGTGATGTAGCTCAGTTAGGAGAGTGCTTGTCTAGCATGCATGGAGCCCTGGGTTCAATCCCCAGCACCATATACGCTGCAGATGGTAATTTAAAACAATCCTGAGTGGAGGCTAGAGGGTCAGAAGTTCAAACTCACCCTCAACTACACAGTGAGTCTAGGATACGTGAGAACCTTTCTCAAAGAAAAAGAAAAAGGGACTGGAGAGATGGCTCAGTGGTTAAGAGCAGCGGTAGCTGCTCTTCCAGAGGACCCGGGTTCAATTCCCAACACCCACATGGCCGCTTACAACTGTCTGTAATCCAGCTCAAAGTGATTTGACACTCTTATACAGACATAAATGCAGGCAAAACACCAATGCACAAAATTAAAAAAATAAAACAAAAAGAAAAAAAACTGCCACCCACTCCACATACACCTATTTCTTTGCTGTCATCTGAGAAACAAGAACATACAAGCACACTTGATGTGAGACCTTAGCTTCTAACACTATTTTCCAATACGAGGCTCCTGAGAAGTCTGGTTATTTGGGGGCTGAGAAAGGAAATACACAAAATGGACCTGAAATACCCAACAGCGCTAGAAAGTAGGAGAGTGCTAAAAATATGTAAATAAATAATAAATAACCACTGGGATGATAAAACAAACGAGAAGACATAACTTTCCCCAGGAGAATTCCAAATAACTCACATAGCAGCTCCCGCTTCTGAGAGGAAGCTAACTCCATCCTCCTCAGGGTGTGCAGAGTGACTTCCTTCCAAATGATGAAGCATGCAAAGGAGGAGAATCAAAGCTTTGTGGGCAGAAATGTGCCAGGCACTTCCTCAGCCAGGTGGACAAGGTTCAGCTGTGATAAGTCACGTTGATCACCTATACCCTTGACTGTTCCCTCCCTCGACAGGGGCCTAGGCTAAGGAGAAAGGGAGTGCTCTTAAGAGCTGTCAAAGTCATCAAAAACAAAGCAAGACTGAGAAACTGTCACACATCAGAGGAAACTAAGGGGACACATGACAGTTCAATGTCAGGGGGTCCTGAATGGGACTAAGGGCAGTGAAAGTCATGAGGTAAAAATCCAAGAAAATCTGAGTATGGACTTTGGTTAATAATAACTGTCAATGCCAGGCAGTGGTAGCACATGCCTTTAATCCCAGCACTTGGGAAGCAGAGCCAGAGGGATCTCTGTGAGTTCAAGGCCAACCTGGTCTACAAAGCAAGTTCCAGGACAGGCTCCAAAGCTACACAGAGAAACCCTGTCTTGAAAAAAAATAAAAACAAAACAAACAAACAAACAAAAACAAATAATATCTATCAACACCTGTTTAATACTTGTAAACAAATGTGCCAATTTGAGGTGGTGGTAGTACACACCTTTAGTCCCAGCACTTGGGAGGCAGAGGCAGACAGATCTCTAAGTTCAAGGTCAGACTGGTCTGTAGGAGTTCCTTGACAGCCAGAGCTACACAAAGAAACCTTGCCTTGAAAAACAAAACAAACAAACAAAGAGACAAGAACCCCAAACAAATGTGCCGTCACTAGTGCAGGATGGTGGCACAGGGGGCTGGTGTCAGTAAGGTTAGGAAGTCTCCGCACTGTTTTCAAAGAAGAATAAAGCTGTTCTGACAAACGTGGTCGCTCATACTTTGATCGCAGCACTCAGGAGGCAGAGGCAGGAGGATCTCTGAGTTTCAGGACAGCCTGGACTACAGAGAAACCCCATGGGAAAGAAAACAAAGTAAAGTTCTAA